AGGCGTTAATTCTCTGGTCATCCTTCTTCATTGCCCAGCTTTTACATACATATGAAACAATTGGAAAGACCATGGCTTGGATCAGGTCCTTCTTATCCCTCAAAGTGTGACCTCTTTGCCCTTTAGCACCCTGCAGTGGTCTTTTGCCGCACATTTGCCCAGTACAACAGATCGTTTGATTGCTGCTTCAAATCCACGTAAGATGAAATCCTTTACAACTTCCATCCTTTCTGTGTCTATTATGATGGTGTCCATTGGTCCTGTTCTGTTTGCTCTATGTTGAATTGCAATCTATGCGAAGGTTATAGTCTTGGATCTTTGTTAGTAAGTGCTTCAAGACTCTTGACTTTCAGCAAGTAAGATGTGTCATCTGCATACTCCAGGTTGGTCATGAGCCTTCCTCTAATCCTGGTGCCACATTCTTCTTTATATACCCCAGATTCTATGATTATTTGCTCAGCAAATAATGGTGAACAAATGGTGAAAGGATATAGCCTTGAGGCACATTCTTTCAGATTTTAATTACACTGTGTTTCCTTGTTCTATTTCAGCTACTACTTCTTGGTCTATGTTATATGTTACACATGAACACTAATGTAAGAATAGAAAAAATCGGCCCTTACAAGGAACAAAGAAAGATGACAAGAAGAAGTGACCAGTTGTTTTGGTTTTGAATTCAACGAATGGTATCATACTATCACTATTTTCTTTTGCACACACTCAAGATTTTAAAGCTATCTAGCTGCATGCATTCCTTTCATTGTTGGGTGAAGAATATGTATAATTCATTTTCATTCTGCTGGTGGTAATCATCAGGAGTTTTTACCACTAGGTTTATTACAAGTAGTCCTGTTGATCTTTTTAAATATATCAAGTGTCGTAGGACTCCATCTTTTGCATAGATAAAAATTATCTAAAATTCATTTTAAGTCTTAAAATTATCAGTATCTTCTATTAAAGTGTTCTTGCGTGAAATTTTACTCAATTTGGTTCTCGTGTGACTATTTCTATACATAATGTTTGGTGATGTTGGTAGTATTTCCCTCGTGTCAACCCTGTCATCTTTGCTTTCCGGTACATGTGGACTGTTTGGTCACATGTAGGTGTTTTGGGTTGTTGGGTTTTTTTTCTTTTAAGAAGCACGGTGTTTATAAAATAAGTTGATACTTATTTTATGAGCCATCCTGTCATTTAGCTGAAAGGCGACCTCTGAGAGCACTTTCAGTTGAGTTCAAAGGCTGTCACAGAACAGCCGTCTCAGTGATTCCTCTGCTCTCAACCAGTCCATTCAATGTAGGCTCTTAATTTATTTTAATGTTTTTTAAGATTTGAGTTTTGTTCCATGATTTTCCCCATTCTGTCTGGGACCATCCACTATGTGCCTGGTCAGAATGGTCAGCAATGATAGCTGGGCATTATCTAGAATCTAGATTCTAGCTCATCTGCTCCCAAGCTAGATGAGGCCATATCTGACTTTTGATAGAACTTATAATACTAAGCCTCCAAGCTTAGTAAACACCTGTGAGGTGTTTGGGTGTTTGAGAAGTATCCATGGCTATACTCACTATAAGCTTTATTATATGTGGGAATATATGTATAGTATACACAAACATGAATGTACATATGCCTATAGGTACGCATGTATACATGCACACATATAGACATGCACATACCTTCCTATACACCTAAATAGGGAGCCCCACGTGGCGCTGTCAGGTAAGTGTTGGACTGCTAGCCCCAAGGTAGGTGGTATTCACAAGTGTCTGTCTATGGAACCAGTCACAGATTTTGTTTTTGTTACTATTGTACAGAATAGGATATGTGACTGCTTTTACCACTCTATCCCTTATTCCTGTGTACTTCTTGGTGCCATCATTTACTCTGGCCCCGTTGTGTGTGCACTTCATCCACATTCACTGTTGTCTTTCCCAGTATCAGAAATGACAACTACTGTCTAGAGAGGGAGTCCCCTTTCTTTCCCCTCCCGCCCCTAGGCAGCCACCAAAGAGCATCCCTGTCTGAAGATGTACCTGGCACAGAAAGCTTGTGTTAACTCCTTTGTCTGAGCTCTCCCTAGAAAACAGAACTGATTTAGACGGAACGAAATCCCTACGGCTTCACAGCAGGTAACACCCCAAACTGAGAACGTGTACGGAGAAAGAACATTGAGCTGGTGTTTGTTTTGGTCCTTTTTCTCAGTGTAGCTGTTCACGCAAAACGTGCTCACATTCTCTGACAGCTTAAATTTAGAGTACGGTATCATCATATTACCACAGTGCCCCTCTCGGAGTGGGTGGGGTGTAGCGTGGTCCTTTTTCTGGCTGGCATCTCAGTCTTTTTGAGAAGCCTGCGTTAGAAGGACCCCAGCAGACAGGAACAGCGCCGATAGAATGGAGTTGTTTCCGTTGAGAACAGGCCCTCCCCTGGGGGCTCCTCCCTGGAGGCTGGGTTGTTTTGAGACCCAGTACCTAGCTCAGCAGTTCTCAACCCGTGGGTCGTAACCCCTTTGGGGGTCGAATGACCCTTTCACAGGGGTTGCCCGATCCATAACAATAGCAAACTTACAGTTATGAAGTAGTAACAAAAATAATGTTATGTTTGGGGGGTCACCCCAACATTAGGAACTGTATTATGAAAGGGTCACGGCATTTGGAAGGTTGAGAACCCAGTGGTCTAGCTCCTTCTCCACAGATCCAGGGAATTGGTCCAACCCAATGGGAAGACTTTATGGTGTTCTCTTCTATAGTGACCCAGCTGCCCATTAAGGGCCATTCTCAGCAAGGGATGTCTGGCCCAGGGCCTGCCAGGCCCCCGGACAGAATTAGAAAGGCATCTCCAGACAGAATGCAGTCGGCAGTGGAGCTTCTATCACACAGAGGGAGTGCTCACCTCGCAACTTGCCATTTGCATCTTTTTCTGGTGGCTCTGGACATCGGACCCTACTGCGGGTGGAATTTTATTTCAGTCCTCAGACTCCGTGGACAGCCTGGTAAACCCAGGTCGCTTGAGCGCCCCCAGCCTCCGCCTTTAGAGTTTGTGCCCAAGGGTTTGCATTCCTAGCACGTGCCCTGGGGGGATGCTGGTGCACCTGTTCTCAGAGCACACTTGAAAAAGGAGTGGTCCCGTGGCTTTGTGCTACCCCTGTCAGTGTGTGTGTGTGTGTGTGTGCATGCACGCCTGTATGTGTGCAGATGGGTCACTTTCCAGTGGTCTGAGGAAAACCCTGTTAGAATGTAGAGCTCCCCGAATTTTGAACACTCCTGCTGGACCGAAATGAAGGCGGTGCCAATTGCTTACCTGGTTTCTGCTCGGGAGCCCATGAAATTGAAAAACTGATCTCTGCTGCTCCCTCAGTTTTGACAGCTGTAACACACAGAGACACACACCGGCATACCATGATATTAAAGAGCTTCTTAAATTAAAAGCAAATTTCCCTGTGCGAAAAATCGTCCGCAGATCATTTGGCTTAATTAAAATTGGGTCTGTGCTTTGCTTAATAATATTCACGCACACAGCCTGCCTCCACTGAAACAGTGCCACATTATGTGTGCGTTGATTACAGCGCAGGCTAGTCCCCAAGTTACTGACAGGACATCCTAGTGCAGACAACTCCGTGCCTGCCCTTTGGGGTGATGCCACCTTGTCCTGATGGGAGAGGGTTGGACCAACCCCTGCTCCTCACGGCACGGTGGTCACAGGAGTCGTCTTCACTGGCTGTGCTTGGCTTTTGAACCGCTGACTGGGCCTTGGCCTTTTTCTTGGCCCTGAAGTTAAGCCGAGGAAGGAGCAGCTGGTTCATCTGTTCTAGCTGACCTGCTGATTCTTAGCACACAGGCACAGCCTCGTTCCTAACGCCGAGGGTGGCCCCATCTCTAAAACGTACACTTGAAAATGAGCCGCCCCTCAGTCTGTTCCTAAAGGTGCACCTTATGTTACAGAAGAAAAATATTTGCGTGTGTGTGTGTGTGTGTGTGTGTGTGTGTGTGTGTGTGTGTGTGTGTGTTTATAGACTTTATACTTTTAGAGTATCCGTAGTGAGAAGCTTGAAACGATGCCTCTCCAGATTACTTTGCGGGCCAGCCTGGGGCCCTGAGGAGAGGGGCGGGCAGCTGGCTGAGGCGTCCCCCGGGGCTGCACTCCTGCAGGGTGCCTGGCAGGGTGGCCCTGCCATCCAGAGCTAAGAATAGCACTGAGGAAGACGCTGGCGGGTGGAGGGGCTGTCAGGCAACACCTGTTTTCGTTTGTTTGCTATTCAAAGCCACGCTCTGGCACTTAATCAGGATGGTAGTACAGCGGGCCTCGGGCATGAGTCGGGTCTAATTGCATGAAAATAATAATGATTTGAGAATTGTGCAATTGAATGGCTACCTGAGAGCCTTGTTTTGCACTGCTTAGAGGATTTTATGCTGAGGGGTGGGTTCCCTGATCCTCAATGGCTTCAGGGTTGTGTGATAATTTGTTTCTAAGGGTCCTCTGTGGGCGAAATAATTTTCAGGTCTCGGTAAGCAAACCACTTTGAATCAATTCCTGATTTATCAGAATATATCCTGGGAGATGAAATACACCCACCCACCCCACTCCCAGTGTTCCACCTGGTGCCGTGCGTTCCACCAGTCCCTGGTTTTCCAATAGTAAGTTCTCTCGGCACCGAAACTGCAGTCTTCCACGGTTTCTCAGAGCATCAGAACCGCGGCTGGCATCTGGGCCATTCGGGCTGCCCGCCGGTGTGGCTGCCCGCGCCCCGTGGCGCTCTGTTGGGCTTTGGACCCGTGGGAGAGGTGGGGGCCTGCGTCTTGGGAGCTGAAAAGGTGAAGCCTGCGGCAGGAAGGGCATCCACTCCCGGCCCCTTCCTTGGATCGGGTGGACAGCGGGAGCATTTCTCGCCGGTCGCTCGAGTCCGAATAAGTCGGGTTGGGTTTGGTGTGGGTTCGGAATGTGTCTGGAGGCGCCCACCGGTGGCCAGGTCCTAACGTGTGCTTTGCTCTCTCCCCCCCACCCAGCCCAGTGACTTCTCCGTCTCACTCAAAGCGTCAGGGAAGAACAAGCATTTCAAGGTGCAGCTCGCGGACAATGTCTACTGCATCGGGCAGCGGCGGTTTCACACCATGGATGAGTTGGTGGAACACTACAAAAAGGCCCCCATCTTCACCAGCGAACACGGGGAGAAGTTGTACCTTGTCAAAGCACTTCAGTGACAACCGAGACGGACTCCCCTCCCGCCACCTTCTCCCGAAGACGACAGGCCTTAGGTCCCACCCCCGCAGGGCACAGCGCTCACCCGTCCCAGAAAGAAGCCGAAGCCCCAGGCTCCGCCCGCACAGCGTTGAGTTGTGCCTGGAGGCTCGTCCCTTATCGGGTTCTTTGCCAGTTTCTCTTATATATTCGGTTTGCCTCCGGTTCAAACCATCAGCAGCCATCCCAGGCGCGCGCGCGAGTCCATGCGAGAGCCCGGCCGCTCTCACCCCCTGGGTTTATAGAATGTGGGGGCGGCTGAGGAGGCTTCTGCCACCGGAAGCCGTGGTAGTGTTGAGCTGTCCATGCTGACAGGACCCCTCGCTAAAAAGACACGGCACCGTCGGAACGCACGGACGATGCAATCCAGTTAGCGGCATGGAGGACACTCAAGACAGACACGGTGGCCTGCAGTACTGGGACTCTGGCTGACCAGGGAGCACGTGAGGGGCCCTGAGATCCTCCCATCCCACTGCCCTTTGCTCTCACGTCACTTCCCCCACGCCGCCCCCACTCCCACCCCCCACCGCCGAGCGCACGCGTTTGGTGAGTCAACGGCCCGGTGAGCTGACCCCGACGGAAATCAGCCGAGCGCGTTTTGGGCCATGCTTGCAATAAAGAAAAAGATACCCCAGAAAGTCAGTCTGCACAGGCGGGAACGGTGACTCATGAAGATAGAAGAACGATCTGGTAGTTAACCCCCGAATGTGCCATCCACATAGTGCTTTTCCTTTTGCCCTCTGCTTGCTTGAACTTGACAATTATGTATTTAATTCTCAAAGTAATGTGTACCTGTAGCCGTTTGTTGACACTAACACACATGATTATGGAAAACAGCTGATCTTTGGGGAAGGGCGCTACCAATGCTTTATATATGTGTGTGTATACATACACACACACATAGTAGGTGTATGTATATGCATACATATAGAATTTGCTTTACAGGGAAATTTTTCAGGGTTTACAGAGAATATGTGATCAGTGGTGAGAGACACACAGAATGTTTATAAAGAAAATGCAGTTTCTTTTTTTCTTTACACTTAAATTTCTTTATAGTTTAAATCTACATCTTGAGATGGCACATTCCTAAGATTGAAGAGGGGGTCTTGAGATTCCCCCAAACTTGCATACCCAGTTTTTTGGATATTGTAATAAAAAAGTATTATGACAAGATTACGTCTCTCTGTGTGTGTCTTGGGAAAAACCCTGAAGCAAGCTGACAGCATTTACCCAGCACTCGTTGCCGAAATGGAAAAGTTTTAAAGCAGAGTTTTAACACATTTATACACACATACTTTCTTTATCTAACACCACATTTTTCTATATTGAAATAGTAAGTTTTAATTAGTGAAGTTCCACCAAAAAAAAAAAGACAAAATCTCAAGCTTGGTCTTAACACGACCCTCTGGAAACGATATGCTTCAGACAATGCCTTACCATACACCTTTTTTTTGTCTCTCCAAAGGAAATGTCTTCATTTCCTTTGCCCGCTCAGTAAACAATTCTCTAGCAATAGCGTGTGCCAGGCACTGGAAATATAGTCCCATAGCGCAAAGCCGGTGCCCTTTGGCTACCTGTAACCAGAGATGGCTCAGTGCTTCCTGGTCAGGCAGTTTCTCATAGACCCATTATAGCCCCATTTCACAGATGAATAAAATGGGGCACGAAGGAAGTGCCCATGAATACAAGGTGACTACCGTTAGAGCCAGGGGGTGCCCTTGAAGAACCAGACCTCAGGGCCCTTGTCCCTAACACCCCAGCCTTGCCCTTCGCTCCCTCCCAGCAGTGGAGAGTGTCTTTATGCACCATAATTTCCTTTGAGTTTGATGATAGCTTTCGGTTGCCTTGGATTGTAACAAACACGTTGGTGCCTGCTAACTGAGACTGGAGTATAACCGTTAAACTTGTAGAAAAACTCGCCCTCAGGTTCTAGAGTGAATCTGGCCACCACCTTATTCAAAAGAACGTCTGTGCTTTTATCAATGAGGTGGGATTCCTCCTGACTCTTGTGGGTTCTCCATGTTACATTTTGACCTCAGCAAGTGCCTGGAGAGAGACCCCCACATAGGGGAAGAAAGGAGCAACTAAAGGACAGAAGACACATTTTGGCTTTGGACTTCAAGGTTTACTATTGTAATGTATTATTTTCAATCTCATCACAAACTCTGGGTAAATTGGACTGATCTTTTATTAAGGAAGTCACACCGAAGTGAGCCTCAGGAGGGTGGATTGACAGCCCCAAGGGTGCATCTGTCTCTAGGCCAGGAACCTGAAGGGAGCACCCCCCAGGGGGGGTGTTGGGGCCAGTACCATGATGCTCTGGCTGGGTAGCACTTCTGCTATGAAAATCTCCACATGTCCAGAGATTTCATAACCTCCCTCGCTGTTGCAGTTGCCTCTCTCTGTTGCACATACAGCAAAGGACAATAAAGGTTGGTTATTCTGTATCTGGGTAACATTCGTTTGCCTGCCTTCTACACAAACAATGTGACATGGGCACCCTGCTGGCTTCCACCCTTCACAGGTGGTTGATGGCCAAGTACCGCTAAATGGCATTTCTCGGGAACTAAAGCTGCCCATCCATTTCCCCCCAAACTATATCTTTTGCAAATTAAAACCATAAATTAGAATCTTCAGAAATACTAGTACGCTGCTGAGTTAGTTAATTGTGCCAGGCTGGCCGATAATCACATGTGGGGCTAATTGAAAGACGAGGGTTAAATGGGTGGTGAGCCTCGCCTTTCTAGCTCTCGGATCTTGCTTTGTGATGGTCGCACCAGGGTGCAGCTGCCTTAGCAGTTCCCTGCTTCAGCTTGCAAGATTGACTTCCTACAAGACATCCCCAAGGAGAAGCCACATGGACCTATCCCGATGCAGCCCTGGGTGCTGGAGCAGCCGTGTGGAGACCCCTGCTAGTGCCGAGATGCTTATTTGTTCGCTGACTCAGCTTTCCTCCTGCAGTCGGCATCATTGCCTGTTTTGTGAGGTGAAGGAGGACTTTGTGGACTGGTGTTGGATATGGGTTAATGTTGGACTTGTGGGCTTGGGCAGCATTGGGTTGGGATGTTTTCATGATGCACACTTTCTTTACACAAAACTATCTTATACATGAGTTGCTGTGGATTTGTTTCTCCAAAGTACCCAGACTAATACAGCTGCTTATTTCCAAACAAAGCATTTTTGGGTGCCCGTATGATTTTGTCTTTCTTAATATAGCTGATTGACTTTTCTGCCACTCAGGTCACCCAACACCAGGATCATTTCTGTAAGGGTTTAAGTGGAGAGAAAATGTTTTGAGAATGATGAGGACAATGAATGTACAAATGCGCTTTATTCAATTGATGTGTGTATGGATTGTGATAAGAGTTGTATGAGCCCCTAATAAAATGATTTTAAAAAGAAAAAAAGAAAAGAGAAAACTAAAAAAAAGAATAATGACAAGACACACACAAAATAATAATAATTTATAAATTATCAAGGGTTCATGAGGGAGAGGGGAAGGGGGAGGGAAGGGAAAAAAATGAGCTGATACCAAGGGCTCAAGTGGAAAGCAAATGTTTTGAGAATGATGATGGCAACAAATGTACAAATGTGCTTGACACAATAGATGTATATATGGATTGTGATAAGAGTTGTATGAGCCCCCAGTAAAATGATTTAAATAATAATAATAATTAAACTACTCAGAGAAGTGGGATGTTGGTTAGGAAACTGCAGGGACACTAATTAGAGAAATTAGGGAAGTTTGTTCTTCCCACGTTTAAATGTTTCCCAGGTTTTCATCAGTACATAGGAATGATCTGAGTGAAAACGTACATAAGCATGAATATTTTTTTCTATTTTGCTTGCATGGCTGAAAACTGGGTAAAAAAAATTAAGTGCTCACATGAGTTATACCAGCTGTCGAAAAATATTGAGCCAACAGATTTCTGCTACGGCTTTTGATTGCATTTTTGGTACTGTTAGAAAGTTGTTTTATCCTTTGTCAACATTGTCATCAAAAATGCCTGTTAGAAATAGACTGCCAAATCTAACAATGCAACGAAGTCCGTTCCCAACAGATTGGCTGTGGCAGAAAACGGAACTCTCGATCTAGGCAGCCTGCAGGATTCCTTGAGCACCCTTTCACTAAAGCCTGCATTGACTGCCCATTTTCTTTTCTTTCTTCTTTTTCTAAGGCTGGATTACTGCCAATTCTGTATGGTTCCATCTAAACACGTTTTCCTAAGCTCCAAATACTTTGCTCTCTGCATACAGCAGGTGCTTACCAAAACACTGTTTGTTGATTGAACACCCACAGAAGAAGAAAACCTGTGAAATAAGAAGCAACAGCTACCCCACGGGCTCAGATTGAATTAGATTAAAGCCAGACCCATTTTAAAGCCCTGGTAAGGAAAACTTGGCACAACCCCACATGCCAGAAAGAGTCCTGGGTGGGTTCCGGTGGCATTTTCATTGGCCTTCAGTCTGCATCGGCAGGCCTGGAAGAAGAGAGATGGCCAGGCTCTGTCTCCGTCTCTGATTTAGACATTTGTCATCTGAGAAACAGTTTGTTAGATCTTCAAAGCTGGGTCTTAAGAGAGCAGTTATTTCTTATAATCATTTAAAACAATCAACCACAGAACTTCTGGGAAATCCCTAAACTGGAACACCAGATGTGACTTGTATCCATGGTGGCATTTGATAACACATAAGACAGACAGACCATTCAGGTCAGTCTTGAGTCCACAACCATGTGTGAGCATTGGCTCTCAAACTGAAATACTCATTGCCGTCAAGTCCATGCTGACTCGGGCGACCCTGTAGGCAGGGTTGAACGGCCCCTGTGACTTTCCAAGACGGGAACTTTGTAGCCGTGTCTTTCTCCCACTAAGTGGTTGGTGGTTTCAAACTGCTGACCCTGTGCTTTGCAGCCCAACACATGACCACTTCACCAACAGCGCTCCTGGTGAGGCATTAATAGGTGCACACCATTGATGTTGTAATATCTTGAAACATTCCTTTTTACTGACCTTAATCTATCGGTGAGATCCACAGAGTAAAACCCATCCACATTCTGATGAACCAGAATCTATTTGTTTGGAAAGGACGTGGGTGTTAATTGTCATTTAAAATTGGCCAAAAGTAAGCCAGGTGAGCAAAAAACGCAGAGCTATCGCGTCCCAGTACTTACCACTTCCCTTCTGTCTGTAATGTGGATTTCATCTGTTGGGTTCAAGACAGGCAACCCAGCCAAACTAGGCTTTCTGGACTCAGGACAGAGTGACTTGTTTCTAGACACTTAGACAAGGGTCTCTGGAGACATGATGGTTCGTTAAGTGCTCCGATGCTAATCAGAAGGTGGGCAGTGAGAACCACTCAGCAGCCCCCCAGAAGGAAGAGCTGGAAAGGTGCTTCTGTAAAGAAACTCGTAGAGATCCCAGAAGGCAGTTTCTCCAGGCCACACAACAACAGCACCCCACTTAGACACCCCTTCCCTTTATGTTTAGATGCAGGTCCCTCTGCTAGGTCATGGGTTGCAAGAATGACAGAAACTTATCTCAGGGCGCTTGCAATCTCATGGGAGTGAGAGCTGTCAGCAGACCAGGAAACAAATGAATAACCATGTCGATCACAGAGTAACCAGTAAAAACAATGAAGATCAAAACAAACCAGTTGCCTCGGGCGGCCCATGTGTATCGGAGTGGAACTGGGCTCCACAGCGCTTTCAAGCCGGGGACCTTTCAGAAGGAACTGCCTGGCTTTTCTCCCAAGACCTTCCAGGGTATTCAAACCAGCAACCTCTTGGCTACCCATTTGGGTCCCACAAGGACACCAAGGAAGATCCGCTGAGAACTCTGGTGGAAAATCAGAAGGTTGCCTGATTTAGGGAGAGAGGTAAGCAAGAAAACAAAAGCCTTCTTTGAAGAATTGGTGCGGAAGGAGTGATTCCAGAGGTGAGAAGGAGCCCCGCTGTACGGTGAGACAGAGCAAGAGGGCTTCCTGTTTAGGAGCAGCATCTGTTGGGCCCCAGGCAGGTGGAGATGAGCTTCCTGCACGCAGGCCTGGAAGACGGTGTGAGATGAGGGTCACACATTTGAAGAAGCCAGGAAAATGAAGTTGAAAACCCAGTTCCGTTGATCACGGTTCAGGGAAGACCTGAGATGTTTGTAAGACATTAAATGGGAGTTGCC